AGTATCCGTCCAATTACGTCGCTATCATTATATTCTAACACAAATATACCCCTAATTTAAACGGAATGATAAAATAACTCACCCTCAATTTTATTACCCGAATCCAATAAAAATCCACTCCTAATTGTTTACTAATTACCCGATCCACTTCTCCCTCAAAACTTATTAAATTTTTTCTATAGATAACCAATCAATTGCAAATGTGGGGTCCCACCCCCAACTCCGATGACGCTTCATCATAGTACTCCATCCCTATTGTCGACCATTTTTGAAGAGATGGAGAAGATGACGAGGGTTGGTGTGGGTCCCATATTTGTCATGTATTTAGTTGGTTGTTCGAGGGAAATTGGGTTGTGTAATGGGTAAATAATTTGGTAAAAATAGCACGAGTTAGTCAGTTTTCGGACTAATAATTGAAAAATAGCTAGCGTTTGCAAGTTATTGAAAAATAGCCACTATTTTGCTGCAACACAGAAAGCTCCAGCATAATATACTGGAGATTGGTGCACCTGTGTATGAACTTCCAGCATATTATGCCGGAACTCCAGCACACGGAAAGTTCTATCATAATATATTGGAGATTGGAGCACCTGTGTATGAACTATGGGTGTTTAACGTGCGTGCTGGGACGGGTTGGACACAAAAAAAAAAAAAAATCAGCCCGTCCGTTTAACGTTGCGGGCTGTTAGCGGGCTGTGTTAGTGGGCTATACTTTTTCGGGTTTTTTTTGTCCGTCCGGGTTCGGGCTTAGCGGGCTGTTAGCGCCCCGTGGATTTTTTTATTTTTATTTTTAAAGTAAATTTTATTTTTCTTATTCAATGTTATTGATACTTAAGTGTTTGCAAACTTTTAAGGCTTATAATTAAACTTTGAAGTTTAAAATTTTAATTTTGAATTTTATAATTTTAAAATTAAAATTTGAAAGTAAGTGGCTACAAAAAATTACTTAATAAGACCTATATGTAATGATCAAGCTCCGAAAACTTTCATTGGATATTTTTATTGAATAATATATAATACTTCAAATTAAGTTGCAAGTTCTTTTTTGATTTTGTTATTTTTGAACTTGCAAATTAAAAGTTTACAATAATTATAAAAAAAACAGTACATCACATACTTTGCATCATTTTTGTAAGTTCATCCATGTCAACATGAGGTTCTTGGTTTCCGACATTGGTTGAATCAGAACCATAAACCATTATATCTCCAATTTCTTGGTCCTCCGCTCCATCTACCTCGTCACGCCCTTGATTTCGTTGTTCTGATCTTATCCAATCTCTGAAGCACACTAGAATTTTCAAAGCGTTGCTACCCAATGAATGGCGGGTATCTCCTAGTTGCTGTCTTGCTTAGCTAAATGTGCTCTCTGATGCAACTGTTGAAATCGGCACATTTAGCACGTCTCGAGCCATGGCCGAAAGAACAGGAAATTGATTTGAGTTGCTCCTCCACCAACCCAGTGATAGAAATTCCTTTGTGCGGGGCTCTGCTAACTTTTGCAAGTAGAATTGAAGTTCATCAATATTCCTGCTACTGGTTTG